TGGGGACCACAAGCCAGAACTTGGACCCCCCTCAGAAAGGCTCACGGAGCAATGGCCTATGAACACTTTAAATTTTAAGTCGTCATTCTTGCCATCGACCAGGAAAGGCACCCAGAAAGACAGGCGAATCAAAACAGACCACTGTTTGGTTTAAAATTGCCACCTACATCCTCAAAAGAGCTTACCTGATTTACAGGATTTATTTGAGGGTCATTAACTAATGGCCTCGACGAGGATAGGAAGCCGGCGGCTTGTCGAAGGTTCTTCCACTGGACTTTATGATGGCAATGCCTACAGTTACTGAACTCCCTGTATTTTATTAAACCGAGCTACAGAACTCCCCAGAAAGAAAACAAATTAGTAACACTTCGTTCAATTAGCCCCCTGCTCATTAGCGCCACCGCCTGTTCCCCACGGTGGGAAGGGGAGTCAGCCTGGGTGAGCTGGGCTACCCACCCTCTAGTTCTTGAATAATGTAAACTGCCAACCGGAGGGAGGGAGGGAGGTGGCCAGGGAGCCTCCAGGGATCACCCAGAAACTGGTGTTTCATTACATTCAATTCTGTTTTTTCTGTGGGGAGTCCCATCAGCTCCCTGAAGCTAACTACCCACAGAGAGGGAAGAACTGGGACTTACCAGGGAGGTGGCAGCACTGCAGGTCTCAAAATGAGGAAGAGACAGTCGGCCCTGACAGACACCCCAAAGCAATACAAGGTAGCAGAGGGCCCAGGACGTACACGAGATACCTGGATGCCAAGACCCTGTTCGACCTCCAAAACCCAAATGCCCGAATATCATCCCAAGACATATTATGAAACACAGCCGAAAGAGCGGCAAATTTCCTAACCTCATGAGCATGTGGATAGACCGCAAGCTAGCTAGACTTAATGACACTGTAGACAACCTGAGACACACAAGCCTGATGGGGTTTTCCAGGGCTTGTAGAGTGAATGAGCCCTACATGAAGCCCAGACACTGGGGCCAGCTAAGCTGGTAAACCCAGTCAATGCAGGCATTCTGACAGCAAGCAGCTGGAGAAAAGCCTCAGGAGCAACAGAGGTGGACCACCACCACACCCTAGGCAAAGAGTAATCAGCTGAAAAGCATAACTCCTCTGCCAAAAAGGGGCAAAAAAAAAATGCCAGTTAAAGTGAAAGCACAATAAAACCCCAAAAACTCTACATCAGCAAAGAAGAGGGTCAGAGAGAAACATCGGCCCATCATGAATAGCTAAAAACTAGGCTGAACCATCCCCAGGCGGAAAACCCCAAGGCCCCCGATGCACCCCAAGGGCGAAGACAACCACAAGCAAGGAAGTTTTCCAATGGGGAATGATGCCCGAATGCTCCCAAGGAAGAAAACTCCGAGACGCATGGGCAGCACTTACGGAGCACCTAGGGAAGGTGGCCCCAAGTGCATGCTGCTCCAGTACCCAAAACTTCTGGCAACTCGCACACTTGCACATCAACTTATGTTGATTGACAGTTGAGAGGCGGGACCAAAGAGCCAGAACTCAACCCCGCAAGCACAACTAGGCAAGTAAAACCATTTTATAACGCCGCTGCAAGGGCAAAAACACCAAAGAAAATGGGAACACAGAGCCAGAGCGACGGTGACCACTGGCACTACTACATCAAAGAACTGACTGGGAGCAGTTTGACTTACACAGGCTGGCTTCCCCTCCCCTTTGCAGAAGGGTGGAGCTAACAAACAGTGGGTTAACTGGGAGAAGTTTTGCTTGTTTGTTTGCTTTTGGAAGAGTTCTTTTGTGCTTGTGAGGACATAGGTCGCACTTTTCAACCAGGCAGTAATCTGTTTTGGTTCGCCTGCCTTTCTAGGTGCCTTCCCTGGTTGATGGCAAGATGACACACTTTAAACGTAAAGTGTTTATGGGCCATTGCTCCCTTTGCCTCTCTGAAATAGCCAGGTTCTGGCTCGTGGTCCCCGGTAGACTTATAAAGAACTCTACGACTAATGACACTCGAGTAGTATGGCATTTGATCAGTTAGATAGCTTCAGGAAGCCGACGTGGCTCCCCACAGAAAACATCCTGACCTTATGGCAATAGTGAAAAGTAAACACAGGACACACAAGTGAAGTGATGCAAATTATGAACCAATAGTAAGTAATGGCCCTACAGAGAATATTTATAAGTGATAGCCGTCACCATTTATTTCAAAGTCAGGAGGAGACAGCGAAACCAAGAGAGGGATGAGCGCTAGGTCAACACTAAGGTTGTGACTGATGTGACTAGATGGTAAGGATGATACCACAGGTCACTTGGAGCAGTAATAATAGTTTGCAATGTTTCATCAGTTATAAATATTTCCAAGCAACCTCTTGGTTTGCAGTGACTTGGCTTTGACGTGTTTTTTTCAGTTTTGCAGTGATCTCTAAATTTAAAGTTCCCCTCATCATTTTGAGGGGTGCCAGATTTTGGTCCTGGTTGCCTGGTTCATAAGTCTTCAGAGACCTGATGTGGTCCCGAAGGCTTTGTCAATGCTAGGTTATAGTGCTGAGGAGCTACTGAGGGAGGAGAGAAGGGCCTCCCAGAAAAAACATAACTTGTTCAATTGCATAATTTCTATCTGAAACCGAGTGTATTGAGAGCATCCCCTAGAATCTGTGCCAACATAAAGGCAATATTCAAATATTATACATACACTGTAAAGTTTGAAAAAAAATTAAAATATTTTACAAAACCACTAAATAACTTTGCTGAGGCTACCAAATTAAGAATGCAAGCTCAAAATAAATATAGTATATTTTTCACTTACCAAAGCTGTGTCTGAAGTGATCATGTTGATTTAAAATCAATATTACCAGTGTTTATTACAAAAATTATTTGTTTAACTATTATGAACATGTACCATTTTTATTTGTTGTTATACACAGCTGGCAATAACTACAGTGTAACCTTGGTCAACAAGTGCCCCAGAGTACAAATTTTTCGGCATACGACGTCAATTTCGTTGTAAAATTTAACCCGGTGTACGACATTTGCCTTAGAGTAAGACTTATTTATTGATATTGTACTTATGTGCATAAGGTGCATGGGTTGTGCTAGGCCAAGGTTCCACTGTACATTATTACGAGTCTTGGAACTCGTTGCTCATATGTTACCAGCCATAACTACATTATTACAGGTCTTGGCTTTCTCATGGCTCATGCTTCTCTAGCTACTACATTACAAGTCTTAACACATTCTTGCTGCTCATACATATCCGGCCACAACAACAATATTACTTGTCTTGAGACTCACTGCTCATACATGTCCGGCCACAACTACATTATTACAGGTCTTGACACTCACTGCTCATACATGTCCGGCCACAACTACATTATTACAGGTCTTGACACTCACTGCTCATACATGTCCGGCCACAACTACATTATTACAGGTCTTGACACTCACTGCTCATACATGTCCGGCCACAACTACATTATTACAGGTCTTGACACTCACTGCTCATACATGTCCGGCCACAACTACATTATTACAGGTCTTGACACTCACTGCTCATACATGTCCGGCCACAACTACATTATTACAGGTCTTGACACTCACTGCTCATACATGTCCGGCCACAACTACATTATTACAGGTCTTGACACTCACTGCTCATACATGTCCGGCCACAACTACATTATTACAGGTCTTGACACACTGCTCATACATGTCTGGCCACAACTGCATTATAATCTTGTTTATGCATACTTTTTACTCATAAAAGTTATATTTTCTTGTCTGTGTAATCTTTATATCAACACAAAAGTGCTAATTCTCGATATTTCTCCATTTACAGTACTGTACTTGCAAACAAATCACCCCCACCCCCCTGTATTCCTATTGCATTCATCACTAATCTCCCTCCTCAAATATTATGTGCATTATAATCAGCCATATAAATAACCTCTATTTATATACACTAACCTATATTAATTTTGTATGTACATCTGGTAGCTTATAATTACTCCTTATTTATTCACAATACAATAATAAATATCAGATATAAATATATAACTTGTATAGTCACATTTCTACACATGTTAATGTTCTCTCCTGTCAACTAGTATACATTCCAAAATTGAGCAATTACCCAGTAAGCAACACAAAAACTTCTTGGGTGTAATAAAGCATACGTACTGGAAGGCAAGGTAGGGCACAGCTTCAAGCACTGCGGCACAACCAGCATCTTAAACCTAATAATCCTCAGCTCCATGCATTTATTAAGTATTACCTAAAAATACCTTCACTGATGCTAACAAAATTTGCAATTCACTTCAAATTCAAACTGTCGTTAACATACAGCACACTGAATTAAAATTTGGAGTCTCTGTTCCCATCCTCCTGTTACATTACTTAGCCAATTATAATACCCCGTTAATCAACATAATCCATATTGAAAATTATGCTATTTCATAAACATTGATAAACTGTTCCATCTTCCATCACTCAGACTAACGAGGAATAAGAAAATAAAAAACAATTATAAGCATATTCTGCAAACTCTTCTCGATATTTAAATTATTGTGACTAAACACCAATGCAGTGTAATGACATGTTGTTATCTAAGGTTAGAATAATTAATTTCACACTTAAAATCCTGCTATTCTACTATTTAAGGGTCAATGTAACAACAAATATATTTACAAGTAAAAACTACATGATAGTACGTCATTCAGTTACATGTCAAAAACTATTGAGTTATTTTTTCCAGTACAGTATTATCTTTTCTATGTAAATTTCTTTCCTTATTTAGTTATTCTTAGGCAAAAAAGGCACTCGCATTGGAGAAACAGAAGAGCCACATGCAAATAGCCTCAACATAAGAAAGAATTCAACAAAAATCAAAGCAAATGTCAAACCAAGAAAGAGCTAAATGATCCTAAAATACCTGCAGAGATCTACAGAGTGAAGCAATAACATAAATATAAACAGCAAGCCTGGAAAATAAACAGCTGGCAGACATATAAGAGTGTCATGATGTGCATGCATACTTCTGAACTGTACTGTTGAACATAAGGCTGTCCCCAGAAGTCGCGAGCCTCGTCCAGGTATTTCTGTAAGCAGGTAAAGTGCATGCATGCAATGAAAATTAACCACTCCACCAATGGGCCAAATTCTGAGGAGAATTTCAAAGATCCAGTATACAGGCAACAGACATTATATTAATAACCAAATACTTTCAAAAATTTAATTATAACGAAGAAAGGATAGTAGTTGCTAAGTTGATCATGTGCATAAAACTTCACTGAATATTTAACAAATATATTAAATATTATTATCAATAAAGTATCAGTATTTTGAAATACTCACAAATTGGATGTGAGTATTCAGATGAATATGTGCACTAGGTAACACCTCACTAGCACTTGCACTCGGTCAAACTTTACTACAATTATATCACCCTATCATTTCAAAGCATTGAGGAAACACCTCAAAAAAACAAAAGCTTGAAATTACCAATTAACTGATGAGAATAATAACATTCCATATGCCATTCCCAACACTTAGTGCACAAAGACAAAGACAATTTTGCCAAATCAAAATTCATAATCTGCCTATAATAAGACTGAATAAAATAGTGTTATTACCTAATTGTAATTACCTAAGTGTAATTACCTAAGCATAGTTACAGGATGAGAACCTCACTGGTGGTGCCCTGTCTTCCTAGTACTGTACTGTTACATAACGCTTTGAAACTACTGATGGATTTGGCCTCCTCCACCTTCTCACTTAACTTAATCCAACAGTCTACCACTCTGTTTGCAAAATTTACTTTCTAATATTTTTTCCACAGCTTTGTTTAGTTAGTTTGAACCTATCTCCTCTTATTCTTGAAGTTGCAGATTTCAAAAATTCTTCTATGTCAATTTTCTCCATACCTGTTACTGTAAGTAATAGTAATATCTTCTCCCAGACATAACAACATACGATAAAAACCCACACTTGTATAATTTGTGAAATTTATGAAAAGATTTTCACCAAGTCTTTTGTACTCTCCCGAGTGCTTTGTCAAGATCTGAGTCTGTGGTCAGGACGAGACTTACATCTCGATAACTAATGACGCTGCTACCCTGGATCCAGTCCTCTTATCCTTCTTGACCTCCTGACCATGTCACCTCTGTTCCCGACTGCCGATGCAGTGTGCATCGGCAATTATAAGAAAGATTACGAGAAACAATCTCATAATTAGAGATTGTGAATTAGCATATGAGAAAAATTGAATATACGAGTTTGAATGTGTCTTTTTCCTATACATACAAACTGCAAATAAATCGTTACTTCTCCCAACAACACAATTCAAAAAGCAAGCATTAAATGAAATGAAACGCAATTTTCTGGGCGAGACCCGGCGACTCCCCGGAGCTATACCGAGCCGATATGCATATATTAGACTGTGGCAACAGTCAATCAATGGAGTTCTAGGCCTACCGGGGACAGCATCAGAACCTGGCCCCCTCAGATGAGGCACGAGGAGCAATGGCCTATAGACACCCCCCATGTAAATGGAAGCAGTCTATGTTTGCCATCTACCAGAACAGGCACCCAGGAAAACAGGAATTCTAAAAACTACAACTGGTTAAAAATTACAAACAAAAAGTGGAACTAGCAAACAGAACTCCCCAATAGAAAAAAGCAAACAAGCATGACGTCACAACAGCTGCCGCGCCGCTGTCTGTGCACTCCCACCCCTCCCTGGGAGGGGGAGGGGAATGGGGGGTCCCAGACCTTCACCGACTATTTACCTCAGTTCAGAGGCTGAATAAAAAAAAAAAAAAAAAAAAACGACCGGAGAGAGGGTTGCCAGGGAACCTCTAGATCTCACCCAGAAAATGGCCTTTCATTACATTGAATGCTGATTTTCTGTGGAGAGCCCCTTTTGCTCCCTGGAGCTACTTAACCAAAGATAAAGGAAAAGAGGGACTTACCTGGGAGGAGGCTGTCACTCGCTCCTCAACTCGAAGTCGAGACACCTGACTGCAACCTGTGACTCAAGGCTACACATGTCCAAGAAGGGCCAGGAACATGAACAAGGTACCATGCGCAAAGGACCCTGTTCCAACCTCCAAAAGCCCAGTGCCCGAATGTCAGCCCAGGACATATTACCAAAAACAGCAGCCAAAGCTGTGAAGTTACAAACATAGCAGACACAGGGAGAGACCACAGGCTGGCTGGACCGAATAATCTTGCGAACGACCTGGGAGACCCACGCCCTGGAACAGGGCTGAAGGGAAACTGGGTCAACACAACGCACGTCCCCTGCCACAGAGTTTGTGGCGTGTAAGTAATGGCGAGCAGCCACAACCGGACACAAAACATGATGCACCCCAGGCCAAACCAACCAAACATCAACAACCCAAAGGCCCCTCCAGAAAGCAGCAGTCTCATTCTTCGCCAGAAAAAGAAGGAGACAGCTGCAAACGAACAAACCGATCACCAAGACCGAAAGAGCAGAAACCCCTGCACCAGAAGAGAGCATGAAGCTTCCCGACCCAACCCCTAGAGACCAATGCCAACAAGAAAAGATCTTTAGAAAAACAGTCCTGAACCAAAGGGGCCACCACAAGCCGAGGAGAAGAGAGAGCACCCGGTCTAAAGACCTGGATGGCTCGGGTGGTACATGAGCAGGTCAAAAGTGAAAAAACCCTGAGAAAGCTTGTGGAACGGAGCAGAAGTGACATCCACCCCGAATGCAAGAAGTGGCGGCTCCGCCAGTGCCGCACGATATGAAACGACAGTATTCAGCATGAGATGACTGTCCTGAAACAACCGAGAGAGAAAGGACAAAACAACCCAATCAGATATCGAAGACAACCTACGAAGAGACAAAAAGTGCCAGAATGACAGTCAGGAAACTTCATATTGCCACCGAAACGAAACTTGCAGTTGGGACCCCATCAACGAAACCACCTGATCACCATACAAGTGGTGATAAACCCACGTCAAGGTGACCAGATGCGAAGAGTGGAGAAGATTGAACCAGCCACGTACAAGACTGGACCAATCTGCTGAAAAAGGCGGAGCCGTAGGAAACCTCTCGGGTTCAGACACTGAGCATGCAGAGCCTGAAACCAGGGCTGGGGTGGTCCGACCACTAATGGGCCAACTGGACTATCCCTCTCTGGCAAGTCTCCAAGTGAGCCAGGACCTGGAGCAACAAACAAACCGGTGGGAAGAGGTAAAGGAAAAACCACCGTGACCAATCCAGTTGAAAGGCATCAACCCCGATGGCCTCACAGTCAGGGAAAGGGCACTGAATATACCAGAAGACACCTCGAGAAGAAGCTGACGAGAAGAGGTCCACGTCCGGGTGCCCGAACGTCCAGCAGAGCCAATGGAACAAGTCGGTGTCAACCGTCCATTCCGTGGATAGGGGAATGAAATGGGACAGGCCATCCGCCAGTACAATTGACACACCCTGGCCATGATCTGCCAGGAGAGTCAAACCCCGAGAACTCAGCAGACAAGTCACCCGAAGCAACCAGCCCAAAAGAGCCAAGGACTGCATCGAACCCCCGCAGATCAGAAAATGAACTACAAGGGAAAAGTCCGAATGGAGCCGGATCGTCGCTCTGCGAGCAACTAACTCTCTGAAGCGAAAGCCACACCGACACCAACTCCCACACCGTGCTGTGAGCCCAACAGAAGGACAGACCCCACCGACCCTGGCCAGCCTGGTGAACACTGGGTCACAAAGCCCCAGCCAAGAGACGGGGCATCAATGAACACATCGAGTGAGGGCTCGGGTAGGCGCCACGGCACAGAACCCGAAAACTCGAGGAGGAAGCCGGCAATGCAGCAGCCGACATAAGGCCCCTGGGGACCGAACCCAGCGAGAGCAGCGAAAGGGATGACCCTGAAGAAACCAGTACAACTGCTGAAGCCAGATCTGACCCGACGGTTATTCCTGAACAGCAGCTTGAGCAACCAATGCGTGACCTGGGTACCATCCAAAAGCAGCCGAAGGCGGGACCACAGCCGCAGCAATGCCGCAGGAGGGAGAGACAAGGAAGAGGTTCGAGTGTCCCAAACAAAACCCAACCAAGTCCGAACCAGAGAGAGAGAACCAAATGGGACTTCCTCCAGTTCACCAAGAACCCGAACCCGGCGAGTTGGGAAAGAACCAAAGCCCTGGCTGAGAGCACAGACCAGCCAGTCATCGAGATAAGCCAGAACCCGAATGCCTAACAGAAGCAAATGAATCACCACGACCCAGGTAAGGTGTGTGTGAACACACGAGGTGCCAGATTTAAGCCGAAAGGAAGGCAAGAAAAATGGTAAGTCTGTCCCCTCACGACAAAACCGAGCAAGTCCCTGAACCTCGGATGAATCGGGTTGTGCCAATACACATCCCGGAGGTCCAGTGACATCATCCAAGCACCCGGCTCCAAAAGCAGCCGGACCTGGGACAGAGTGGTTATCCACTATGTCCCAAGTCCAAAGGAGGGGCAAAAGATCCAGGGGTTCAGACAAGACAATTCCAGAATGAACCGCAGGTCCGCACACTCCTGTTGGAACTGGAAACAGGTAGGAAACCCACCTGAGAGACGCCGAACACCCAACCGAAGGAGGAGGAGCCACCCAACGCCACCGCAGGCCGGAGGAATCTACCCGAAATTCCCACAAATCGTGGGACCAGGCGAGAGCAAACAGCACGAGCCTTCCCTCTCCCCCCCAGTAATCCCATCAATGGGGCAAACCATGAAAAACCCGATCATCCCTTACGACAGCCTGACTGACGCTCAGAGCAATCACATTGCTGACCAGATGCCGAAGGCTCCGCAGGAGGGGCGGGCCCCGAATCTGGCACAATTGGCTTATGACGATCGAAGTAACTCTGAGCCCTGGCACAACCTTTATGGGCAGGACCACCACGGCTTCCCCAGAGAACCAACAAGTCCGACATAGGGCAGCAACAAGACACAGCTGCCTGCAGAAAATGCACCACCACAGAATCTGCAACCAGCAACAATACAAAAAGGGGACAAAAATCTAAGAGCCAGGGACACAAGCAGATTCCAAAGAGTGGACGAGCACTGTCTGCTGGCACACGAAG